TTAAAAAAAAATGAAAATAAAGCTTTTAAAAAAAGACAAGAAATGAAATCTTTTGTTAGACTAGATTATGAATTTATGATAAAGAATCGATTGCTTTATAAAGTAACTTAGCATTAAAACAAGAAACCAAAAATACAACTTGCACCATTAACAATCATTATAATAGAGTTTATAGGACTATACCAGACTGGTCACATTTCTGAAATAACGGATCTCCACCATCGTTGCAAACACCATTATCATTGCAGTCTTCACATTCAGTAAAACCATCCTGAACATAAAGGAATTATAAAATGAGCATGGTACAAATAGTGTTTGATAGAATAAATGGAGAATAAATGCATGTATAATATGCTCAAGTTTCATAGTTGAAAATATGAATCTCTGCCTGCTTTAGTGTAAATATAAATTCTAACACTATCGGATTTTTTTCTATATAAACAAAGAAGGCCCGAATCGTGCATTATTCTACAACAGGAACAGCCTTTAAAGAACGTTTCTATGGGAAACACTCAGTCGAAAACAAATTTAACCACCAAACATAAAGTCCAACTTTATAATAATAATTATAGTTTTTCTTGACGTGTTAGAATGGAAATAGATATTAATTCTTCGTGCATTATTGTATAATAATGCACGGTTTTCGTTCAAATGCTTTGTAATTAATCACTCAGGCCTATCGGCCTTCGTGATTATAATACTACGCATTTGAACTCAAACCGTGCATTATTCTACAACAATGCACTCAGAATTGATATCTATTTCCTAAATAAACATATCTCAGTTAACACCGAGTACATATTTTGACGTTTAATACTTTAACACTTTATGTAAAAACAGTGTCACTTAAAACATTGGTAGTTTTTTGAAGAAAGGACCAATAAAAACATAAACTGTTATAGATAATGCAGCTTCCCGTACAGAGTGTGTGCTCTATAGGTCAAAATTTGATGCATTCAGTAACATTTTTCTACATTTCAATTAATTTCTGCAATAAGAGTATTTATTTCAAAGATATGTACATGTATATCTTTTATTATTTTAGGAGTCTATATGTATTTTATGAGAGTGAATGTGTTTTAATATGATATATATGATATACTGACACTACCATTTAAACATGCATAACTTTTTTCATGAAGCGCCACACACACTACATTCAGGAACAATTTGCCAAACAGTTTCGTTGACTTACGGTTCGGATTATGTATTCGATAATTTCGTTTACTATTCAACTTGAAAATAAATATAACATACGTTTTTCAAAACGTCATATCACAATTAATGACACAGAAAAAAACACGATAAACATAATGATAATATAACAAATATATTATAAATTCAGGTATAGCCAAGGTGTAGCCAAGAAAATTCTTAAGAGAGGAAAACGGAAATATAAGAGTGTTATGTACAACGGCTTTTAGTGAAATACTATATAAAGGTTAAAACTGTAATTTAAACATCTAACCATATTCCAATTCTTCTTTGCTCCAAAGTAGTATCCTGGTGCAATCTCCAAATAATTTTCAATTTGAACATTTTTGTTGCCTATAACACCTATAAGCGAACACAAATTGGCCAGTCTGTAGAAGTTGATAAATTTGCAAGCCTTTTTCGCTTTACATAAGTCAATGCAATCATTTATAGCCCGCCTGGTTACAAATTCAATCACATATAAACTTCCATCGTCAAAAGCATTTGAATTTAATATGTCAGGTTTTATACGTCTTGAAAGTTGAACAACCTTATTTAAACAATTTATATTGGTAAAAATGGCGAGAAATATAGTCACTAAGAACTTTGCATTTTTCCTGTATGAAGACATTTTTCTATATGACTGCTGTAGCTGCTCCTGACGTTTACATCAACATATCATTGTCATAACTACCAACTCATTCATGCATACGACTCTATGTTTTTTAACCATGTTGAATTTGATTTTTAATCTAAAATTTATATTACCAACAGTATGCACTGAAAGTTAATAAATTATGTAAGTAAGGTAATGTTACAGTAAGAATATACAAGAATTAATAATACGGATGGCCGTAAAAAAGCTGTCTCTATTAATATTGATACCAATTCGTTTTCAATTATACCAGACTTTCTGCGACAAATACATTGCTTTATATACATCTGCGTGCTCGTGTCTTCTGTTTGTAATTGTTTTTATTGTCTGTTTGAGGGTAGGGGAGAGGAATATGTCTTTTTGTTTTTTGTTTTGTTTTTCTTTGCCTACAATTTTGTCAGGCTTATGTATATGCTTTCGACCCAAACCACCAATGTGTATTAACATAAAGACAAAGTAGATGATCCCGCGGAACATTATTTTGCTCGATTGGAAATAAATTTCACTTGTTATGTATTCAGATATATTAAGAAAGCGATCACAATCGTTAGAAGTTAGGTTAGAAGAAAAAAGTTTGAACCGAATTGAATCCGCAATGGGTTACACAATTGAAGGACATAACGTTACATTTTTTCAGACTGGCAAAATTAAGTTTGTCAATCTGTGAACATAAGTAGAAATGTGAAGATAATCACATATTAAGGAATTCTATTAAAGTTGTTCAAGACTACCATCATCTACAATGCTGCATCCAAATAATTCTAATAATTTTTGTCAATTAACATAAAAAGTGGAGTGAATATTTATTGAAACGCTTAAATATAATGTGTACATGAAATAGAAAAAAAATCTCAAATTGTAATTACACGCAAGAACAACTTCTCATAGTTGTGACAATAAATATGAAAAAAATGCAAAATAATTTCTGCCATACTTATAAATGTATAATGGCAAATAAATATGAATAAAACATATCGGTTCTGGGTCACACAGTACATATTTTTGACAGAGCTTTACCGACATAGCAAAGGTACAATTGACAATATACGAGTGGTGTTCAATCTATTATGAAGCACAATCAAAACACGTTGTAAGATTTGATAGCTTACAAAAACATGTACAAAGCTATAATTCATGTAAAGTAGACCGTGTATTATATAAATACATATACCCATCTCATTAGAATTGAAAATTCAATATGGTTAATAAATGATTTAGTTGAGGGCATTATTTTAGGACTTTTGAAGCAAAAATGTCCTACAGAAACATTGTGAAATAAATGGGACATAATATTTGCTGCTACTGTGCATCGCATTTATATGGAAGCCTTGGAGGGTCACTTTTGAGTTTCGACTTATAGATTTATTTTACTATTTTCTTATGACTTTTGATTTATGACTTTTGATTTATGACTTTTGATTTTTGACTTATGGATTTTGTTATTTCCCACGTGCTTGCCATTATAATTATAATTTCCAAGGAAAATATGGTAGAATATGACAACGATTCAGACGAGGTAAGTTCATTTACCTAAGTTTCCTGGAGACTTATTTAAAAAACAAAATATGTTGGCTCATATGCAAGCACAGAATGTTATTCTTATATAAGCCTTTTAAATTGATTAAGAAAAGAAAATACCTTGCTTGCATTGCATTGCTTTGCATTGGGTATCCATTTTTTATTCTGATTTCCGGAACAGGGATATATAATCTCAAATTGACATACAGCGTATGAATCAAACGCTTTATTTTTTATATGGGTTCCAGTTTTAAATCCAAACCAGTCTCGCATTGTTGTTTGCTGCAGTTACAATCGGTTTCACCCGTAGTTTATTCTTCGTCCATCTAATATTGAATGTAGACCAAATTATAGGCCTTATTTTGACAAAGAAATTTGTGGTTAAGAAGTTTTCATGAAACATGGTATTTCAAAAACAATAAATCATACAACTTTGAAACTTCACACACTTGTTTAGAACACGCTCTAAGTTAGAAATCTCTGAATTGCATTGTTATCAAATTCAAATTTTTCGATTTTGAATTCATGGTTTAGAATTTTCATGAAAAATGGTTTCTCAAACACTATTTTAGCGATTCCTTTGAAACTTGGAACACATATTAAGTGTTGACATCTAAGATCAATGACCAAGTTTCGTATGAGTGGCGCACAATTTGACATACTTATGCCCATTTTTAAAGCTAAAATGTTTTGTCAGATGGTTTATGAAATATGGTCCCATAAACCAGTCATGATATAATATTGAAACTTTATTCACTTGTTCAGTATCAATAGTTAACTTAGGTCACATACCAAGAACAAAGTACATGTTATTTGTATATAAACTTTTGTATACAGTTATGTATTAAGGAATTTTTTGTATTTCATTTTGTATATATATGTATTTCATTTCAATTGAGATAACACATACTTTTAATGTTTTCATTTAAATTCTTTTAAAGCTACCTGTAGGAATTAAGGGCGTGCTGTCGAATGGTTTCAACTACAAAGCAGTTGCAAGAGCATCAGCAATACATAGGAGCCAGTTAGAAGACTAAGAGGTTTCATGGCAAAACAGCGTTCGTTCCGAGTGGAAAATAGTACAGTTTAGCAAATGCAAAATGTCCAAACACTAGTGATTTGGTTTTCTTCGTTATTGTCTATTGAAATATTCATACATTTTTGAAATACGAGCGTTACCATTTCACACTTGTTTCAGACGCTCGATAATTTTCAAGTTTTAACCCCACTACTTATTGTGGACGCTTTATTGGAAACACACAGTGTCACGTCCCGCCATGCTTATTTTATATTGTCCATACCTCCAATATGGTACGAATCTTGTATCGATATACAGGTCATGGTGAGACAGAGAAAAGTGTGAAAAATCATGAATTCATAATTCTGACTTTCATAATTTTCAGTATATGCCCATTGTAAATTTTAAAACTTAAAAGAAAGGTATCGAAATCAAACTTTGCATGTTCATATAGCTTGGCGAGGCAGAAAAAACATACTTCTTGCTATCATAGCTACATTTTAGAAAGTCCCTTTTGTTGTTGATTTTTTTCTGCTTATTTTCATACTTAGATTTTGTTAAACTCATAATTATCTCAAAAACTGTTGGAGGCATCATTTTGAATTTACTGGCGAGACAGAGTGCATTGTGTTGTTAACAAAACTTTTGATTATTACATTTAATCGTTCTTCTAAGTTAAACATTCCCTTTTTCGACATGCTATGGGTTGGGGGTATGCTAATTACGAAAGACTATGATATTTCCATTACATATAAAGTCGGTTATTCTTCGAAAAAAGAAAAAAAGAACTTGTGGACGTTATTTAATATATACATTATACAAGGTATACATTTTCTTAAAGTTAACTAGGAATTTTTTTGCTAGAGACTGTGTTTGTTTTTTTCCTCTCTTTTGAACAAAATAACGCTTTGACAATGATTTTAAAAATCTTGACCTCAATAATAATACAGTCACTCTAGCGTTGCTAGTTTACCTAATTTATCTTATGTTTTCAAAAGCTTCGTTAGATCACTCATGATTTTCTTAGTTTTTCATCAGTAACGTATCAACGATATGTTGTTTTGTAGACATATTGCATGTATATATGTCTTCTGTGACGTAAATACTTGATGTTTTTGTTGATGGCAGTGTTTATTTTTAGCTGTTCTATAGTGTTAGCTTTTAAGTAAGGCATGTGTGCTATTTTAGAAAAAAAAACTTACCTCTGTAGTTCTTATCTCTGTTTTTAAATTAAATAAAATGAAGCTCAAATTCAGTTTGTTTTGCCTATCTAATACAGTTGTTTTCTTATAAGACAACAATTTTGTTAAACAAAATAAAGCACGGTTGTAGAATAAATTTTTTTGTTGTTATCTGTTTAAACGCATTTATTCCAAACAATTATTGATAGCTCTGCCAACTTGTCACGGTCAAGACCGTGAGGTTAAAACCTTTGGTAGTGTGGTCTCTCGGTAGAGGTATATTTAGGTAGTCTGTTGAGGGAGTTGGCTGGTTCCACACAGTTTAATTCTATAGTGATTGCTATTCTATTTCTACTTTGCTCATTTCAACCTCTTACTTATAATTTTAATGGAACACTATCTCTACATAGATAAATAAATTCTCTGTAACATTTAAATACTGTTTATTCCGGTTGGAAATTGCAAGTTAATTTTGGTTATAACAAAGTTACAATAACACAATAATAAATTGTCAACAAATGAGGAAAATGTCTTTTTATCATTCAGGACCAGATTTAATATGATAATGTAAATAAGTACAAGTTTGAAGTAGAAATCACAAGAGTTTCAAGTCATATTTGTGTCAAAACCGTTTTCTAAATTTTATTTTATACCTATTAATTTTCTTCCAACGTATTATGTTAGTGACAAATACGGAACCATATAATTATGTAAATGCCGGTTGATTTTTGACATTGGTTCCGATCTTAGCTGTGTCTTACGTAGCATTAGAAAACGGGAACCAAAATTACAAGAGGCGTCGCCGGTTTTGCATAAATTACGTATTCATCCGTCAGTCATAAATTTATCTTTTTATTTTCTGAAATTTCTTAAAGTGTAATTTAATGAAAATCATTTTTACTAAAAATGAAAAGGTATATAATAAATTTAAAGTAAAATTATGTTGAAGTAGATTTCTGAGGCTATGCATTTTTCTACTTGCAACATTGGACAATTGATATCTCACTCGACCTTCGGTCTCACGAGATATCAATTTTCCACCACTGCTTGTAGCAAAATACAAAGCCTTAAAAAGCTACTACTACATAATATTCCGTACATATATCTTCCTTATTTTAATGTATTATAATGCCTAACGCTTGTACCCTCTTTAATAGTCAACACGGAAAAATAGCGTACCAGTCAACCGTGACTAACTTCAACAAGAACTTAAATAGTCTAATTCAAGATGTAAAATGTTAATAAAAAATTTTAATAAAGCTACACATCTAGAAAATAGCTTAAAATGTTTTATCTGAATAAAAAATTCGTTATTTATCAAGAATAGTT